ATCATCATCAGATCATATACACTCGTTGCGACGGACGCACGTTTAATGATGATAATAATAATGAACACCCTGCAGAGGTTTGCAGGAATTTCTTGCGCGCGGGTTTCGAACAGAATTTTTCTTATCTCCGCACCAATGCCGACACGTTTCCGACCGGTCGGGCTACTGAATTTTGCACAAATTGATGTGTACGACACGATAGTAAACGCGCCTCGGGGGTTGAAGGTGTTTAACTATTTTCGTCCAACGACAGTGCCAATAGGTCGGCTTTCGCGATGTACCGCGCGCGCCGCAGCCGTATCGGTATCGATTGTGGTGCGCCCGCGCACGTCTGACGCGTACACGTCGTCGGGCCCGAGGGCGACACGGGACACTGACGTGGAGGAGGAAGAGGAGGAGGAGGAGGAGGAGGAGGAGGAGAAGGATAACGGACGTGTGTCCGAGAAGAGGAGGAAAAAATAATAGAAAAAAAAAAAAAAAAAAAAAAAAAGAAAAAAAGGTAACGTCGTCGCGCGCCGCCCCGCGGTTATTAATTGCCGCGGTCTCGCGGGTCGTTTCGGGTCGGCTCCGCGCGGGCGTGACGGTTAATTAACAGCGATAGACCGTAAACGTTGAACAAAAGTGAAAAACACGAAATGCAAATCGCCATTGTCGAAACGTATCGTACCCCGTGCACGTGGCCGTGGCCGCCCTCGCGCACGTTGTTCAGGCCCTCCAGGACGTATTACCTATGCAAACACGGTGTGCCCGCCGCGTTCGCGCGGCACGATCGTCAGACGGGCACAACACGGACGGGCTCGTCGGACGGTAAACAATTCACTGCGGACGGTACGAATAACGAACACGCGTTTGGATTGCCGACGACGCGAATACGGTTCGATTACCGTCGCCCGATCTTATCCCGTACGGCGGCGTCGTAGTGCACGCGCGACGAGACACCCTAAGCCCAGCGCAGCAGCCGTCTCGTCGCGACAACAACCCCGACCGAACGTCGTTTTCTTGTCGACCGCCTTCGACCGTTGGACCGTCGTCGCGAAACGCGTTACGGCCGCCATCGGTGTGATCGCGAAACCGAATTCGAGAAAACCGTCAACACGCGATAAGTGTAACGCGATGATCCCTAACGAAACGCGTTTCGCTTGCGACGTGCGAGTGCGCACAGGCGGAACCGGACGATTCTATTCGGTCGGGGGCCGAACGGAAAACATTAAAAACCGTTGTTACCGATGACACGATTACAAGAGCAAACGTCAAACGTCCGAACGAAACGGTAACCGATAAAACCGATTGTTCGAATGCGTAGAACGGGACTTGTCGTGTTCCGCTTGTATAATCCTTGTTCGTACCGATCGTGCCGCCTGTGCACTGCACAACTCTATGGTGTACACCAGGGGCGGCCAAACGGTCTCGATTACAGCGTCGATCACGTTAGAATTTGTTTTTAGGCCACGTGCACTCCGCCAGTGCCCGGATCGACGAAATAAATATTAAAATGTTGAATTAGATTTAAGTGTTTAGATTTTAGAAATTATTATATTATTTTTAGTAATTAGTTCATAATACTTTATGTACGTTTATTAAAAAATTATAATTGTTTAATAATAAAAACATTTTCCCGAGAAAGTCGATCCTCGAAGGTGAAGTATGTTTTTAGTAGACTGTGGCCGAAAAAAGTTTGGCCGCCTCCGGTGTACACATATGAAACGCACAGATGTACAAGTATACCGTTCGTGACGGCCTAAACGATTGTTAAAACGTGTAATGCGTACGTGTTTTCCGTTAGGGCCCGGCCCGAAGTTTCGCCCACGTGAACACACGTGTGCGGCGTACGTTTTCCAACCGTGCAGCGCACCGTTCGGTTGATACGGTTCTGCGGTGCGCGTAGAACGCACTAGCGCGTGCGTGGATAGGTGGTCCCGCCGTGCGTCCGGGGCGGAGAGGCGGTGCCAATTAATTTCGAACAATAGTGGCGGACGGGGGAGAAAAAGAAACAATAAAATAATAATAATGATAC